GGAGCCTGATGCAGGGCTCAATCTCAGGACCCTGAGGTCATGAAAGGAGCCGAAATCAAAAGAGTTGGGACTCAACCAATTGTGCCACCCAGGCACCCTGACCCATTTCACTTTTTAGTTAAAATTTGTGGGGCAGGGATCCCTGGGTGGCGCAGCGGTTTGGCGCCTGCCTTTGGCCCAGGGCGCGATCCTGGAGACCCGGATCGAATCCCACATCAGGCTCCTGGTGCATGGAGCCTGCTTCTCCCTCTGCCTGTGTCTCTGCCTCTCTCTCTCTCTCTGTGACTATCATAAATAAAAAAAAATAAAAAAAATAAAATTAAAAAAAAAATTTGTGGGGCAGCTCTGGTGGCTCAGCAGTTTAGCGCTGCCTTCAGCCCAGGGCCTGATCCTGGGGACCTAGGATCGAGTCCCTCGTCGGGCTCCCTGCCTGGAGCCTGCTTCTCCCTCTGCCTGTGTCTCTGCCTCTCTCTCCCTTTGTCTCTCATAAACAAAATTTAAAAAAAAATTGTGTTAGAGAATATATACAAAGGCTATATTATGATAGGGTATATACTTGAAATATCTGGTGTACTGTAATTATAGCAATTCTTAAATGTAATATTTAATCACTATAAATCAAAAATCAAAGGCAAAATATATGGCTTACACAGTATGTTTAAGGTTATGCATACTGATATATAAGATTTTTAGGAGTTTGTTTTTTTAAATAAAAGTAAAATGTACCATCAAAGTTAAGATAATTAATTTTGAGAATTTGCTCTTTACTACATTGCTATATTTTGATAAAAAGTGAATAATTCTAGATACGTCTGAGTCGTACAATCTGAAGCAAGACAAGATACACTCCTATTCCTATCATATTGCAGAGAAGGTACTATTGTTGCATTAAACTGAGTTAAGTAAAGTCAGTGAGTGTTCCCTCCCTGAGCTGTGATGATTAGATTAGGGATAGGCATGTGTCCTAGTATAAGCAGAGGATACATGAAGGAATGCAGCCCCCCTCACTATTGAGCAGAAACTACCAGAAGAATCTGTTGTATGGATGTGTGAAGGAAGGATGTGAGCCTGGAGCTGCTGCCATGAGGGGCTCTAGCTTGAGATTAGCAACCACAAGAAGGAGGACAAAGAAAAGAGGAAAGTAAGGCTGCTATTCTGGTCAACCTCTGGATCAGACTGCTGCTGAAGCTCATTTGCCTATGAATTTTTTTAAGCTATAGAACCCACTAAATGCAGTGTTGGGTTAAGCCCATTCAAGTTGTGTTCCCTACCACTTGGACCAAAAGTCTTACTGTTCCTCTCAGTGTAGGGATAAAGAGCCAATAGTTTGCCTAGACTTTTTTATTTTTTTATTTTTTTTAAATTTTTATTTATTTATGATAGTCACATAGAATGAGAGAGAGAGGGGCAGAGACACAGGCAGAGGGAGAAGCAGGCTCCATGCACCAGGAGCCCAATGTGGGACTCGATCCCGGGTCGCCAGGATCGCACCCTGGGCCAAAGGCAGGCGCCAAACCACTGCGCCACCCAGGGATCCCTAGTTTTCCTAGTCTTCATTGGCTTCTGGGCACTAGCTTCTGAACCTCAGCTCTGTTCTTATTACAAATCAAGGCTATGACATCTGGACATCTGCTCATGGTCAATGCTGACAGGTTTTCTAAGCATATGCAAGTTCCACATTCCAGGGCCCAGGAGAGGATACTTCCCTGGGGCCTGTGTGAGCACCTGGAGCTAAACTTTTAAGAATGATCCCAGGAAGATGAGTCTCCACTTTGTCCATACATTCCTGTAGCCCTGGCTAAGCATCTCATCCCCAACACCTACAGCATCTAGTCTTACCTGGGTGTTTCACAGCATTGCCAGAGGCCTCTTACTATTCTTAATTACTCTGCGGGGCATTTCTTTTTATCATTCATTCATTCACTCCTGCCTTCTCACTTCACCCAAGTCTCTGAGCCTGCTTCTCTTTCATAAGCTTTGCAGTTGCTGCCCTGCTTCCTTTCTCCCAGATCCCCACAGAGAAGCTTCCTTATTTCCATCTACTCCCCGTCCCCACTGTCATCCTTGCCCCCACCCTTACCCTGCTTTATTGTCCTTTTCACACATGTTCCTCTACTGCAATATAAACTATTGATCCAGGTTTTCATCTCTCTTGTTCACTATCAGATAAAGGGCTCTGAAATTTGAAGTAAAGAAATGTAACAATACAATAAGTGTCTACTTTGTGCTGGAGATTTCAGAGACAGCTCACATACTTCAATTTTTTGTTGTTATTCCTTGGGGGGTTTTTGTCTGTTTGTTTTGGAGGGGGTTGTTTGTTTTTTAGTAAGCTTTACATCCAGTATGGGACTTGACTCAACCCCGAGATCAAGAGTTACATGCTCTACTGACCAAGCCAGCTTAGGCACCCCCTTCACCAAGTAATTATTGACATTCTTATTTTTCAGAAGAGGAAGTTAAGTTCTGAGAAGTTAAGCAGTTTTGCACAGGAACACCCAGTTATTGAGTGGCACAGCCCCTTTTCCATAGGTTAAATTAGATAAACTCCCCTGCTGCAGCCAGAGACAGTAGTGGGAAATAGTCAAGACAATAATGGACTTGCAGAGTGCTTTGCAAAGTACAAACACCATCACTCCTGGCTCTATTGAGTACTTCCATGTGCCAGATGCTTAGCACATATTGTCACACTGAAGTCTCAGAACAACTTCCCTGAGGAGAGGTATATTTTCCAGTATTTCCATTTTGCAGATAAGGAAATGAGCTTAGAGAGAAGTGATTTGTTTAAGGTGTACAGTGACAGCAGAGATTTGAATCCTGGGTGGTCTTGTGTAAGAAAACTAAAAGCTGGGGACTCAAGGCCCTGAGAAACATTTACTCTCCCAAAGATGGACATCCAGGTACTTCTTACCTATCCCTCATCTCCACCTCAAATACCTCTGAGGTAAACCTCACTATACATGTGCCCTTATAGGGCTGAGCATATTTGAGATATGACCCTACGACCAGAATTATGAAGTCAAAGGGTTGTGAATACTTTGCTCGGCTTGAGGCCTCACATCTGTTTCCCTTGTGTCTGGCTCTTCTTTCCCTTCCCTGGGATAGGCCCACATCCCCATGCAAGGCCCACTCTGCCCCTCCTATGATCTAAGACTAAGAGCCCACCACTATCTAGAGCTATTGGAGAGGAAGAATGTCCTAGACTGAGAATTTAAGACCAAAATAGCCTGTGCTCACTCCCATGTCTGCTATTGCTCTGTTTATGGAAAACCATAAGCCTATGGAATGTGAAGACAGCACAGTGAAGCCTTCAAGAATGAGCCATGTGGCATCAAGGAAACAGCTGGTGAAATCAGTCTTAGGCCCCCCTCTTGGAGCCATGCCTTGGGCCCCTTAGCAGGCTGTCTCAGGCCTTGCAGCTCAGGCCTGGCTCTTCTAGTCCTTTCCTGTTTTGGGGTCTGTCTCCCTCACAGGTCTACGGGGAGTATCAGATTACAGTGTGGTTGCAACTTATAAACTATAAAGTACTGGGCTTATGTGAGGAGCTATCTTTATGGCTCCAAGAGTTGACAATCCCTGAAGTGAGAAGTAGGCTTTTGGGAGCTAAGTCAATATAGATACAATTGGTTCATGTCTCCTGATATAAGCTGTTTTTGGTAAGAGCTAAATTCAAATCCTGCCTCTGCCACAGCTATTGCTGGGACCTTAGGCAGCTGATTTCAGTTGCCTTCCCTATACCTCAGTTTCTTTAAATGTAAAAATGGGACAAAATTGTATCTACCTCATTGCACAAAGATGATAAGAGAAGGTGTGACCAATTTGGAAAACAGCTTGCCAGTTTCTCAGAAGATTAAACAGTTACCATATAACTTAGCAATTCCCACTCTTATGTATTTACTCAAGAGATGAAAACATTCGTCCATACATCGTATGTATTTACTCAAGAGATGAAAACATTCGTCCATACAAAAGCTTGTACCTAAATATTTTCAAAAAATGGAAACAACCAAATGACCATCACTGACAAGTGGATAAATGAAATGTGGAATTTGCATTTGATGAAATATTATACAGGCATAGAAGGGAAGCACTGATACATGCTACAACATGAATGAACCTCGAAAAATGCTTAGTAAAAGAAGCCAGACACAAAGGCCACTTATTGTATGATTCCGTTTATAAGAAATGTCCAGAAAGGGCAAATCTTTAGAAACAGAAGGTAGATGTGTGGTTGGAGAGTGACTGCTGATGGATAGGAATTTGTTTTAGTGGTAACGAAAATGTTCTGAAATTAGGTTGTGATAGTTGCACAACTCCACAAATATGCTTAAAAACATTGAATTATACACTTAAAATGGGTGATTTTTATGGTAGGTTAATTATGCCTCAAGCTGTTGGGAAAAAGAGTACAAGAGAAAGTAGATAGAACTTGGGGCAATGAGCAGCTCAATAAACGTTGGTCATTATTCTTATTAACTAGGTTTCCCAAGAGCTAATTTAAAGCCCTAGAAGCAGTGATCACGGGCAGCGAACTTCTAGCTCAGCCTGGGTCTTTAATCCGTTGAGTGTTCCTGGGCGAGTGCCCGAATCCCGAATCCCTCCTCAGAGCTTCCCACAAATGAATGGGGGAAACCATTCCTACTCAAATCCCTTGGGTCTCACGAGGAGCCAGGGGTTCCGGAGGCAGATGCGGAATCCCCAGCGCACTCCTTGGGCCTCTGACTGAGCAGCGTTGCAGGTGACAGGCGGGCGAGGCAACCCGGAAAGGCCCTGGGAGCTCTTTCAGGTGAGCTCTCTTGATTGACAGCCCGGAGGGGAGGGCCCCTGGTGACGGATGCCCCGCCCCCTCACGTCGGGTCGGTTGGCGCCAGTCTAGGGGAGGTGGGCGGGCCCTGGGGTCCGCGGAGCCCATTGGGCGTGGGGGAAAGCTCCTGGGAGGGCTAGGGCCCCGCCCCTGGCCTTGCGGCGGCCAATGGGCGCGGCGCGTGGGCGGGGCGTCGGCGGCGTCCGCGGCGGCCCGGAGGCTGAGGCGGCTGAGGTGGCTGAGGTGGCCGCTGGGGCTGAGGCGGCGGGTGCGGCCGGGATGGCGAAGAGCCGCGGAGAGAACGGGCCGCGCGCGCCGGCGGCCGAAGGGAGTCTGTCGGGGACCCGGGAGAGCCTGACCCCGGGCTCCGACGCCGCAGCCGCCGACGAGCTCAGCTCTCTCGGCTCGGACTCGGAGGCCAACGGCTTCGCCGAACGCCGCATCGACAAGTTCGGCTTCATCGTGGGCTCGCAGGGCGCCGAGGGCGCGTGAGTAGCGCCGGGGCTCGGGACCGAGGGCCGAGGGCGGGCGCGGAGCTCGCGAGGGGGCCTGGACGCGGACGGAGCCGCCCTCTGGACGGACCGACAGGTTCTTCGGCCAACTGGGGACCACCAATCCCTCCCCTCTCTGCCCCACCCCCACCCCCTCCTCGGGCGGACTGACCCGCCCCACTCACCGGCCCGCTTCCGACCTAAGGACTGATAGGCCAGCCCTACCTCTCCCTTGCCCCCGCCCTCCAGACACATTGACCCGCCCCCAGGAAGCGCTCTCAGTGCCCTCCTCCCAACTGCGGGACAGAAAGACAGACACCTGGCCCAACCTCGCTGCTGCCACCGGGGCCTTAGGCCTGATTGTGCCACCCTTGGCAGGCTTACAGATGGCTGCTCCTCCCTCGACAGATATCCTCTCTACCCTCATCCCCCAAGACCCACAGACACCTTCTCTCCACCTTGCTACCCTCAGACCATGGTAGCAGATGAGCTTCAAAGGGACAGACTGCCCTGCCCACATTCCACTCCAGGACAGACTGACCCTTACCCCAAACACACGGACTTCTGGGTGGGCTAGACTGACATTGATCGGCTCCCTCCCAGACAGTCCCACCTTGGGGCAGATAGTCCCTTCTCTTCATGAAAAGGTCACAGAGTGCTCTCCCCCTTCAGAGGCAGATTTCTTTGTCACTGGCAACAGGTAGGCAGACACTCCCCCTTCTCAGTACCCACAGAATGACAGTGCCTCACCTCCTGGACAGACTGTTGGTGGTCTCTCTGTATGCTGTGGAAACTCCAAGCTCCTCCTAAAACAGCGACTCAAGGGGGCAGTCATGGAGCCAGCAGGGTCCCTGCTGGTAGCACACCCTGATCCCCCACCCCCAGAGCATCTAGGACACAGCTGTCTGTCAGGCAGAGAAATTTGAGGCAGTCAAGCAGTCAGTATCTTCTCTCCAAGCTGGGTTGCTGGGCAGCCACACTGCCCCACAGGGCCCTCTGAGCCTGGTCCTCACAGAGATCATATCAGTGGGCTGGCCGGTCCCCTTAAGGATAGACTCCAGACCCTACTCCTATCCCAGCTGTCCTGTCACATGAGACTAGTGTTCTGAACAGAACTGACAAGCCTCCCTCGTGATATGCCTTCTCTTCAACAGAGAGCCTCCCACAATTACCTGTGGGGGCCCACAGGACTCAGTCAGGACCCTACTCCAGATGGCCCTTTCTCCCCTTCTCTGACTGTCCAAGGCTCCTTCAGCCTCTCTTATGACTTATGAAAATGACTTGACCATCTATTAAGAACCCCACCTGACACAAGCAGCCCCATAAAGGTCACTCCTGGGATTTTCCTCAGTCCCAATGCCTCATATTTACCAGGCCTCCTTCTACTTTGGAGAAATGTAGCTCCCTCCTTCAAGGAGAGTTCTCTCCTACCCACTGGATCTGTCTCCTCCAGCCTCTCCCCACTTATTCACAGCAGGCTAACCTTGTCCACTGCAGGACTCAGAGCACCCCTTATTCTGATGCCTCACCTTGATTCGATGCTTTGTTAGAGTTCCCCAGGATTAGCTTGTGAGAGCCCAAAGGGGTCTTAGGGTATTTTTTTTTAAGATTTTATTTATTTATTAATGAGAGAGACACCCACACACACAGAGGCTGAGACACAGGCAGAGGGAGAAGCAGGCTCCATGCAGGGAGCCTGATGTGGGACTCGATCCCTGGTCTCCAGGATCACACCCTTGGGTGAAGGCCGCGCTAAACTGCTGAGCCACCTGGGCTGCCCATATTTTTTGAATTGAGGAGCAGTCACTAGGGATCAGGGCCCTGAGAGTGATGGGGTCTTGAGAAGTGGGAAAGGAGTTCCTAGTTGCATTTGTGGCTTCTTAGAAGGAAGAGCTCAGATTTGCTGGTGAATTCTAGGATATAAGAATTCCTATTACATTCTTATAGGCAGTTAACTAGATATTAAGGTACAGAACAATGCGATATAGTGGGAAAAGGCCAGATTTAGGGAAAAAAAAATCATACTTGTTGGCTATGTGACCTTGGGCAAGATCCTGAATCTATAAGCTTGTTTGCTTACCATAAAGGGCAGCTGTAACATGTACTCCCAAGATTACTATGGGGATTAAATCAATTCAGATATATTAAAGTGCCTAGCACAGTGCCTGACCCAAGTAGTGACCTAAAAAATGTTAGTTTCCTTTCTTTTCCTTCTAAGGGTCTGAGAATTGACAAGAAAAATGAGGGCGTACCTCTGGTATTTGTGAACAGAGAGACGCCCCGTGGGAGCACCTCCCTTTGGCTATATTCCCCCACTAGGCAGCCAGACATCTGTCTTCCCCACACTCCAACCACAAACCGAGGCTTTGCAGATGCCCTCTCCATCACTGGTGTTTATAGAACTGTGGCTGAGGTGGGATCCCAGGTTCCCTCCTCTCTCCCTACCTCACTTTCTTGACCCTGGTGATCAACCTAAAATCTCTGGTGTCTGAAAACTTGGCTGTTCCCTGCTTAGTTTATATTATGGTTCCAAAGTAGCCAAAAGTAAGTCCCTGCCCAAGGCCATAAGAGGGGAAGTTATGGGAAGTTTCAGGGTGACTGCCCTAAAGCTAATCTCGTGGTTAAGGGCTAGGAGTCCATGTGCTATCCCAGAGAAGTGAAACATTAGCACTGATGGCTGCAGGGGAGAGGGCAGGGACTCTGGCTCCAGATTAAAGGTCCATTTCAGCCACCCTGGACCAAAGGTTATTTCAGGATGGTCAGTTTTGGCAGTTGCCAGGGGCTTAGGGAATGGGGAAGAAAGCATATCAGAAGATATCTTGCTCAGGTGACTGTTAGGAGTCTGGCATGAGTAGATCATAAAATCATAGACTGTTGGAACTGGAAGGGATCTTAAAGAGATTGACCTAGCTCCGCCCTTACTTTTACAGATGAGGAAACTGAGGCTCAGAGAGGAGAATCACTTGCTTAAGATCACACGGCATATTAGTTAGCAGAACCAAAACTTGAACCCAGGGTTTCTGACTCCTAGATCAGGACAATTTCCATTGCCTTCATCATCCCTTAATATAGTCTATGGCCCCAGCAGTAAATCAGGTGCTGGGTAGGTAGAACAGAAGGTTCTTAGCAGGAATCTGCTTGCCCTCATCTTTCCTGACTTAGCTCAGCAGTCAGTGCAGGAGGCTAAAAAGTACAGGCTAGCAAGAGTAAGAATATGCTGTCATTACTAGTTTATTAGACTGATCAGCTTTAAGAGTGAGACTAGGCTTATTCACCTTTTTCAACTCAGAGAAGTAAATGCTGAGTTAGTATTTATTTGCTAAATGACATTTACTGATAGACATTTCAAGTCAGAAAGCTGAAAGTGACCCTAGAGATGGCAGTCATACGGAGAGGTGAACTGAGGCCTGCGCGAAGTAGTTATCCTCACCTCTTCCATCAATTAGGATCAAAGCCAGAAATTGAACTCAGAACTCCTGATTCCCAGCCCTAGGCCCTTTCTACTTCTTTACCTTGTCTGTCTTTTGAGCCTGCTCTACAGGGTGACATTGGTGAGCCTGTGATAGTCCCTGTTTGCTCATGAACAGTAGCTGGTAGGTGAGGAGACAAAAAAGCAACCAGCCAGTGAAGAGCCCTATAGTTGGCATGGACACAGACAGAGGTGCTGGCAGCATTAGTTCTTTTGGCTTGGCTGTGGGCTGAGCTAGTTGTTGAAGCCTAGGAAGGACCAGAGGAGGAAAAAGGAGTGTTTTCAGCGGGGTAGGGTGGGAAGAGTGATGTTACCATTCCTATCACTGTGGGATAGGAAGAACAGATCTATACAGGGAAGTCCCTTCTGTAGCATAGAGGAGGTGGTCAGGATGAAAAAGTAGGATACCAGTTGGATACCAGGTCTCCTGGCCCAAGGGAGATGGCCTGAAAGAGGTGGGTCCCTGACCTCCCTCTTTTCCCACAGCTTCAGTCCGCTCAATGCTGTGAGCCAGATGAGATGAGGAGCTATGCTTTCTGGGATCTCGTGGGTGTTGACTTCCTGCTAGGGGAGAGAGGGATCTGAACTGGGTCCAGAGAGAAACATCTGGAACAGTAGTTTTGTCTTCTGCTGATTCAGTTCTCCTGTCCCCTGGGCCCTCCACTATTCCTACTCAACTATGGTGGCCCTGTGGCTTTGGAAATCGTAGAACTGGCTTAATTGGCATCCCTATAGTTTGGTCTGTGCCAGTTTTTGTTGGGGTAAGGCCAGGGCCCTCCTGGCAGGCCAGAGCCTGTCTCCCTGCCTTCCCACTACCTTCTCCAGCTTGTAAACTCAGAGCATCCTCTTTTCTTGAGCTATTATGGTTCCCAGGAGAGCATGGAACTGGCAATAGAGTGGTCTCTGGGTGGTCCATTTGGAAGGAGGCAGTTGCACATGTGGAGCCCTCCTGGTCTGTGACTCTAGACCATAGGCCCTCCATTTTTCTCTCCTCCTTCTCTTTCTCCAGCTTCAAAGGAAAATCTGGTTTGGTGGCCCTATGGGTGTTCTAGGCCTCAGACAAGATTTGACTTGGTAAAGCAGGAGGCCAGTGCACCAGCTGCTGCCCTGGGAAGGTGCCTGTGTGTCCGCCTGCTAGGAAATCCTAAGCTGTGGGAAAGAGATAAGGCAGTGGGGCCTGCTTGATGTTTTGTCCTCCCAGCATCGGGGTCTGAAACAGGACTCTAGAGGACCAGTGAGGTTTGGCTGTGGTCCAGTCACCCAGTCTGTTTACACTGAGGTGGGGGAAAGAAGATGCTCCATGTTCCCTCTTCACACAAACTATGGAGTCTGGTTGTCTGTGTGGTTTTGGACATGTTGCTTCACTTTACTAGGCCTTAGTTTCTCACTGTGAAATGGTTGTGATAATACTGATTTTACAGGGTTTTTTTTTGTGAGGTTTATAGGAGCTAATGTTTGAAAAGAGAGTGGGGATGCCTGAGTGGCTCAGCGGTTGAGGGTCTGCCTTCAGCTCAGGGCGTGATCCTGG